ATTGTTATTTGTTCGTGCAACAAGAATTCACCAGGAATCTGTGTTCTCAGATCTGTGGGTAGGGCAGTGAACAAAACAGACAAGGGGCCCAACCTTGTGATGCTTATATTCAGATGAGAGGAGACAGAGAAAACAAAATCTTCATGAAAGGTGTGGCAAGGGACAGTGAAGCCCGATGCATCGAGACACGACTGTATCCACCTGGATACACGTGGAAATGGAATTTGCCGGATTGCTTGGAGTTTAGTGCAGCATGGGGCTTCAGACAATGACGTGGGATTGAAAGTGATCGGTGGTCTCTGGGCAGAAATACTATTTACTGGCTTTGACTTTCCCTACAATTGTCACTACAGTGGCAAGTGTTCTGAAAATGCCTGATGAAGGAGGACTTCCTGGAGAGTAGCCTTTTCATAGTGCTATCTTTTAAGCCAAGGAGAATTGGAAATTGGTTCTTATGGCATCAATACACTGATTTGCATGGAAGCAGAGTGGGGGTCCGGAGTGATAGGAGTCGGGACTGAGCTCACATACATGATGGGCTGGGGATTCCTCTCTGAAGAGTTATTTGAAAGGTAAGTTATTGAGGGGAATACATGAGCTTAGGAACTACAAAGGGCAAGGCTACTCTTGGCAGATCACTCTAGAAAGAGTGCGTGTCCCTGTAACATAGACTTGAAAACTCCATTGATTTTCAGATACTGTTCCTTCCCCAAGATTTTGTTAAAACAAACATATTAATACAAGGAAGATAATGGCCTGCACCGCTAGCAGGGCTGTTCCTTGCCTAGAGTTTTGTGTTAGGTGTTGCCCACTTTCCATCTGATTCCAGGCTGTGACCAGGCTCTGCAGAATCCATCAACACGTTCGTGCTGAGTCTCAGCAGCAACAAAGGCCAGGCAGCTTTCATCAACATGTTCAGAGCAGAGCCCATTCCCCAAGGGCGGGGGGAGAATAACACACTCTGTTTTGTTCCCTTTGGCCTGTTGCGACTCTGTTTTAGAGAAACACATAAAGTAAATCAGCTCAAAGATAAAGAAATGTAATGTGTTTTTCAGCCGTGAAAATTGTCTTGGCTGCATGCAATTATTTTTTCTCTCAATGTGTAACTCCGATGTTTAAATCGTGCCATCAATAGGCACTCTTTATTTTCTTATTCACAGGTGCCATTCAGGTACTCAGTAATTTATAATTTAAATTCTGATTGTTTTATATAAACACATGAAAGGATGCCCCTTTTTATATACGTCACATACGCAGTAACCCACTGTGATGATTGCAATGTTTCTGCCTACTTTAGATACCAAATGAAACACAAACTGGTTATTATAATGTTGAAGATTAAGCAGGTAAGACTTTCCTATTATTGTCTTCATTCCTGAAAAAAAAAAAACACACAGCCGAATCTGGTAATTTCAGATTCCATATTTTCTTTTTGTTTTTCATGGCATCATTAGACCTCAGGAACAGTGTCTTTTACTAGCTCCTCTCTCTCTACCATGCAAATAAACATAAGAAACAGACTGGCACTATTGTTAGAATAAAATTTTCTGGTCAAGAGAATAAAATTCCTGGCCTGGGTTGAGACTTAATGTTCCAGTTGGGTTGGTCCAATCATTGGAGTAAGGCGGGCTCACAGGCAGTCCTTGACTAGATTTGAGTTTCGATACTTTAAGTTTGCTCATTGATTGTAACCTGCTTTGTACTTGATGGATATTTGGGGGGTTCCATTTTGGAAAATGCAAACACCCAAACAAGTCTAAGCTATCCAAGAAGCACTCAGCATCCTTGTGAAGAATTTACCCCGTCATGTGGCTCTGTGTGTCTTGATCTATATTATGTGTTAAGATCTAAACATAGTTTTCTTATCTCTGCAAACTCATGATCTCACTGAACGAGCAGCTGCCACAAGGAGCAAGTCTGAGTGCTTGGAAGCAGAGTAGAAAGTCTATATACTGGCAATTACTTCCACAGAAGACCAGGAAATGGATGTTGGAGTCGGCCCTTTGGGGGAGTGGGAGGAGAGATGGATTTTGTGAATTGGAAGGGATCTTGAATTAAGAGAAAGGCCTATGCATTCGAATTTTCAAAAAAACTATCTATTCAATGACAAATTACATCTAGATGATACAGTGGCACTAAGCTACCGTGCTCTTGACTTTTGTTTAACTCTTATACAATTGGAGAGTCATACATACCCACCAACTGGATTAGAATGGGAAGGAAGTTGAGATACTTTCTAGCGTTTGTGTGCATGTGCGTGTGCATGTGGGATTAAGAGCAGAAGTTGTCTGGAAGGGTGGAAGGAAGGGGGAGAAGGAGGAAAACAAGCAAGAAAACACCAGAGCTGCATGAGCAGGCAGGGTAGATACGGACCCGTATGTGCTTATCAACAACATTTTCCTCAAGGAGGCCAGCAGGGATATGAGGGAATGACTAAGGCAAACAGCTCTCTCTATGCAGGCTTTCCGTACGGGAAATGAGAGGGCTGCAATTTCACGACTTCGTGTTCGGGTTTTACCCTGAAACATTAAACACTGTTTCATGAAATGAATACACATGAGTGGTATAGGTTGGCTATGATTTTAGTATTACATAATACTGCAGACCAAATTAAAGGAGGGGCTTTACTTCTTTGTTGCCTGGCCTAGAGATTCACTTGCATATAGCGCAGCTGAAAAATAGCTACAGGAGCCAGAGAGATAGCTCAATGGTTAAAGGTATTTTTTGCTCTTTCGAGGACCTGCTCTTTACTAGTACCCATATTACATAGCTCACAGCCGCTTGTAACTGCAGCTCCAGGGCTCTCTCCCTCTCTCTCCTTTTTTTTTGGTAACAATAGGTACCCATCCAATCATAGTGCATGTACATGCACACTCGTGCATGTACGTACTCACTCGTACACACTTGTGCATGTACGTGCATGCACACACACACACACACAAATAAATCCTTAAAACATTAACTATAGTTCAAATGTTCTGGCTGAGGTGAAGGCTTCAGAAATGGTATGATTTTTCAATTAAGCCAATGAATCTGTTTTCTTCAAACTCTTCACTGATGTTAGTGATAAGAAGGAACTTGGAATCAAGAGGGTAAAGGGGAAAAAGCAGGGGTATTGAGTGGAACCAGGGGTGCAGGCTGGCAGACTAGGACACTGGGCGTGCAGTGGTTACCTTCATAATAGGTCCCAGAACGTAAGAAAGTGCTGAAGAATGGCGCTTGGAAGAGAATAAAAAGATCGCTTCATCTCTTTCCCAGTGTGGTTTAGATCAGAGCAGATTCCAAGGCCGTCACTGGGGTAGATGAATGACATTCTGAGTAAATATGAAGAAGGCATACTGATCTAATGGAAATTCTCACAGCCAAGTGTATGCACAGTTACCAGAGGGGGTCTGGGGAAGGGGGCAGGGGACTTCAACCTTTGGGGCTTTGTTCCTGGGCTGACCCGTTTACTGTGTTCTTTGCAGATGTCACACTACTCCGGGAAATCAAAGATTGTAGCAAAAGTAGGTGGAGAGATGACTTGGCAGCAGCTAAGGGATAATCGGCCACTACCCCACCTATCTATGGAGTGCAATGGGTGATGCGTCCCTGGCTGGACACTAAGAGCCTGCTGGCCTTTGTCCCTGACCTTTTGCTCAGAGACAGATGGCCAAAGACCCTCCTGAGACCCTGTTCTACAAGGCTCTCTTTGACATTGCTTGCGTATATTTCTCTTTCTAATAGTTTGTATGTATTAGAACATTCCCTATAAATCGTATAGCATATGGTTAAAACAAATCACATCAACGCCGTAAGTCTTTGAGGACAGACCCTGGGATTTTTGTGAGGAGAGACCTTACTCTGACTTGTCAGTCACCTCCACCTGTATGGTCCCATCTGCACCTACTCTCAGTGGGAGCCTATGTGAGTTGGCCATTGCCGTTCTATAGCTGTCTTCCACTCTCCTCATCAGAGTCCCTGTTTGCTTAGGGACACCAGTCAGTTCTCCATCACAAATCTCCAAGAACCGAGCTGCTCTTTAAAGTCACTTCTCGCCCCTGACTAGTTTCCAAGTCGCACTGGCTCTCCCTCAATACACCAGGAGACTGCTTCTCTGATGTCCTGAGTCCTGCTGAAGGATGGCCCTTCAGAGACAGTTTGGCTGTAGATAGTGCTCAGTTGGTAGAGTATTTGCCTAGCACACCATAAAGCAAGCATGGTGGTGCACTCCTATAATCTCCACACGCAGAAGGAGAAGGAGGATCAGAAGTTCAAAACTATCCTGAGCCACAAAACAAGTTTGAGACCATCAGGCCTATATAAGACTAATGGTGGTGGGGTGGGCTTTAATCTCATTGCATGGCCCATTTCTCTGTTCAAATATTGCAGTGATTCCCAACTATTAATTCACTTGTAATATCTGCATATTGTTTCTATACTCCTAAAGTATTATAGATCTCAAAATATACTATTTTTCTTTAAACGCATAATAAACGTTAATGCTTGTAAGGAAAGAAAAAAAATGGTCCTTCATTTTTACCTATATTCTTACCATTTTTACATTCTCGTTGCTTTCCATAGAACCAAAATTTCAGCTGAGCCTGGCAGCATAGCCTAGGACACATAGTGAGATCCTATCTCAAAAACAATTAGAATATCTTCCTTTAGCATTTAAAAATTGCTATTTGTTAAATTAACTTCTGAAATAACAATTAACCTAACACTGAGTCCGTCATGGCAGTGGGAGTGGTGGTTGGTGGCCATTTGTAAATTTATTTCTGTAGATAAATAAAACTAAAGATGTGTATGCTAGTGTGTATGTGTGTGTGTGCATGCGCGTGTATGTGTGTGTTTTAACATAAGCTAAGAACAAGCAGAACAAATTTAGCTCTCACACCAGAAAGCAACTAATTCTAACTGACCTTGTTCCATTTGCTGCAGGGAGTTCAGTCAATTGGCCAAACGCATTCTTCATACTCACACCATGAGGCTTCTGCTACGAATCTTTGGCAAGGAAGAAATGATGTTTTTGAAAACTTGTCTAGCGTCATGTCTGCCTTTGACTGTATTGCTACAAGTATCTTGATAGAAAAGGCAGCGCCCATTCGCTATGATTGAATGTGCCAAGACACATAATTTACCAGGTGGGTTGAGTCCCAAAGTACAGTCTCATCCTGTTTGATTGTGGATTAGATTTATGCTGCAGAGACCTTGACATATTCTTTGATAAAATGCTGGGGAAAGAAAAGCCAAAATTAAAATGTTGATTTGTTTGTGGAAAATATCTTCCATGCTTAAAAATCCGTCGTAAACACACACTCTCACCACACACACATTTTGTGAGAGAGGATGTGGGGAGGTGTAGGTGTCTGCACGTACGTGGTCACATGTATGTGTCTGGGTGCCCATGCACACGTGTGCATGCTGTATGGAGGGCAGAGATCAAACTCAGGTGCTATCCTCAGGAGCCATCCAAGAGAGCTAGACCGACTGGCCAGCGCCAGCCACATGGATCTTACTGTTGCGGCCTCTCTGGTGCATGGATGCCCAGCGTGTTACCACCACCGGTCACGTGGGTGCTGGCTGTGTGGAATCACTTCACCATGGGCTGCCTTTCCAGCCCTGAAAATGTTCAAATGAAGATTTAAACTTTTTAGGTGAAAATGTCAACCTTTTGGAGGATGTTTTACTGAGATGGGATTGGAAAGAGAACTGCTCATGTCTTCCATTATTTCCTGATGAAGTTGGGCTCCTTCTGAGCTCCATGTGCATTTCACCTCTCATTAAGTTTGTCTTCCTTGAATTGTCTTTGGTTTTTGCAGTATTTATATTTTTTAATTTTTAACTTTTATTGAAAATAAGGTTTTTCATTCACATAATATATCCTAATTATTGTTTCTTTTTTCTCTACTCCTACCAGATCCCCTCTCATCCAAATCCATCTGTTTTCTGTCTTTCATTAGAAAAAAAAAACAGATTTCTAAGGCATAATAATAAAATAATATAAGATATAATAAGATAAAACAAAAATTAACACATTAGAATATGACAAAAGAAACAGAAGTAAAAGCCCAAGAAAAGGCATAAGGAGCAGATATAAACACAGAAGCTCACGTGCTCACTGTCAGTGATCCCTAACAATACTGAGTGGTAAGCCATTATACATACTCACAGGACCTGTAGAACAAAAAGAAAAGAAAGAAATTGAAAATGTATAAATAAAATTAAATTAAAATCAAATAAAAAAGAAGTCCTGACATTACAAAACAAGGAGCCTCCAAAGACGCCATCGAGTTTGCCTTCTGTCAGTCAGGGACCCAAAATTTAAGAGTACTTTGTTTCCCAGGAAGACTTCCTAGGAAAAAAACTAAATTTTCATTTTCAAGTGGTTATCAATTGAAGATTGCTTCTGAGTTAGGAATGGGGACGTGTCTACTTCTTTTTTCAGCTCCCTCCCTCCCTCCCTGAAACATGACTGGGGAGGTAATAAGGTGGTCTAGGGTGCTCAAGAGCTTGCTGTGTCAGCCTGATGGCCTTAGTTTAATCCCCAGAACCCACGTCAAAGTAAAGCCATATGTGGTGCTGTCAGCATCAGTGGTCCTATGACGGGGTGAAATGTGGATGCAGGAGAATCACCCAGAAATCCACAGGCTAATTACCCTGGAGCACACGATGAGGAAGAAACAAGAGAAAACCCCAGCCTCTCCAACAAGATGCCATAGAGAATTCTCTCCCCAAAGTTATCTTCTGACGGTTACATGAGCTCATGTACACATCCCTGATCTGGGAAGTCCTTCTATATATGTGTTGTTTTCATTGGTTAATGAATAATGAAAATGCTTTGAGTCTATAGCAGGGCAGAACAGAGCTAGGTGTGGGGGGAGGGACTAAACTGAATGCTGGGAGAAAGAAGGTAGGGTCAGAGAGACACCATGGAGCTGCCAGAAAAGAAAGACACAAGCTGCCAGCAGAACCTTGCTGGTAGGCCACAAGCCTCATGGTAAAATATAAATTAATGGATATGGGTTAATCAAAGATATAAGAGCTAGCTAGTAATATGCTTAAGCTATTGGCCATGCAGTGTTTTAATTAATATAGTTTCTGAGTGATTATTTTGGGAGTCTGGGCAGTTGGAAAATGAACAAGTGGCCTCCTACTACACACTCCAATGCCCCCCACCCAACAACTCTCTCTCTCTCTCACACACACACACACACACACCACACACATACACACACCACATACAAACATACCATGTACACAAACACACGATATACAAACATACACCACATTCACATATACCACACACACATATACACCAAACACACACAGACACACACACCACATACACACACATACCACATGTGCACACAGACATACCGACACACACCAGAAATACACACATTTAGACCACACATACCCATACGCACACAGACAGACACACAGACACACACAGACACGCATAGACATACAAAGACACATAGACACACAGAGACACACACAAGACACACACACACACACACACACACACACACACACACACACAGATTTTAGACAGTGTGGTATCACCCTGTAGTCACACAAGAGTTTTCATTGCTTTCCAGAATTTTCTCTCTCTGTTTCAGACTAAGTCATTTTTTTGGTTTATCTTAGAGTTCATGTCCACTATACTATTAATTAAAATGATCTTTTACATATAAAATACTGTGTTTCTTTCTGTTCCAGGGTTTCTGTTTTGACACCTTTATGGTTTCTGCATCTTTCTGAAAACTCCCTTCTCATCTGATCACTAATTTTTATACAATCTCCTCAGCGGATGTCTTAAATTTTAAATCATGTCATCTAGTGACAATGTCTGCATATCAGACCTGGATTTGCTTTTTTTTTGCCTAATTTTCTTTTGGCTATAAGCCACATTTGTTGTTGTTGTTGTTGATTTACATAGTTATTAAGTATTTCTCCATATATTGAAGTTGGTGATCAAAATATGAATTTTATCATATTCCTCTACAATGCGTTAAGTTTTGTCCCAGTGAGAACTTAAATGAATCCTGAATCATTTTATTTCCCTTCAATCCTAGGACAAAATCCTTAATATTTGTATAAATATTTTATTCTTAAAGCAAGATTCTGGCATTTGTCCAACACTTTAAACTCTATTGAGCTCCTCTAACAAAAAAATTCTGTCACAGGTATAAAATGCAGTCTTCGATCCACCCAGTACTCTGCGCATCTGGATTTCTCCCACTGAGTTGCCTGAGTCCCACCTCTCATGAGCAGAAGCTCGACAGTCAGACAAGGCTCAAGCAGTTTGTATGCCCCCATCAAGAGAGCCCTTTCGGGCTCTCGCCTCTCTGGGACTTTATCAATTTTAACCTTGATAACCACATCAACCTCTACATTGAGACTTGTGAAATAAGAGTATAGAACAACATATAGCTCATTGGGGCTGAAGATTGTCCTAGTGGGAAAACTAAAGGTGGAGTTTACATTTTGGGGTTCTTTCTCATGGATCAAATCTCCCCTTGTTTGGTCTGCCTTTGATTACACTCTCTCTCTCCCTCTCTCTCTCTCTCTCTCTCTCTCTCTCTCTCTCTCTCTCTCTATCTCTGATACTTTCAAACAGTTGTTTTCAATATTCTTTGGGAATGTTAGTACAGTATAAAATGGTCTGTCACTACAGAGACTCAGAACCTCTTTATAGAATACGAATGAGTTATAAAATCTTACCTCTTAGCTTTCAAGAACCTCCAGAAATATTTTTTTGTGATGGTTAATTTTATGTGTCAACTTGAATAAGCCATGGGATAACAGAGGACTGGCTGTCTCCGTGAGGATATTTCTGGAAGAGACTAGCAGTTGAGTCAGTGGGGTAAATATCATCATGGGCAACATGACCAGGTAACGTCCAGGCCACCGAGGCCCAAGTAGAACAAAAAGCTAAAAGGAAACCATGTTTGCACTTTCTGTTTCACCTGGGACATCTGTCTTTTATTGCCATGAGAGTCAGTGTTGTGGATTCTGAGGCTTCAGGACAAGGATTTATCAAGATGACTCCTTGGGTTCTCAGGCCTTTGGATTTGGCCCAGAACCAGACCAGGAGTTCCCCTGGGCTTTTAGCATTGCACATGTTGTTGGCCTTTTCCACCGATCCCTTACAATAAATCTCTAAGATCCTCCTGAATATCCCATTGACTCCACTCCTCTGGGTAACCTCAACTAGTTCAGTCTCTAACCTTCCCTTTTAACTTTCTCCTCTACTTCATTCCATTTTTTTAAAATAGAAAATGTCTATGATTTTTTTTTGTATTTATATGCACATGTGCATGCCTTCTTGTCTGTGCTTGCACCATTTGTACACACGTGTCTGAGGAAGCCAAAAGATGCTGGCCTATCTCCTGGGGCTGGAGTCACCCAATGTGAATTTCAGCAACTGAACCTGGATCTTATACAAGAGTAGCAAGCCCTCTTAAGCACCGAGCCATCTTTCCAGTTCCCTACATTTCTCTTATACATACCCACTTCCTGTCAGTTTGTCATACGTACCTGGTATTCCTTCAAACTTTGTATCTGTACCTTTAAGTTTGTTTCTTATTTCTTCTTTCTTGAAATGTCCAGAGTCTGTTATCACACTTTATGAGCTTCCCTATTTTATTATTGTTGGCCTGTGTGTGCGCGTGCATTGAGTGCGGTATGTATATGAGGGCATGTTTACGCATGTGTAGAGAGACAAGAGGTTGATGCTGGGTGTCCCCACTAGTCTCTCTCTACCCTATTGAGTCTGGTCTCTCATTTGAACCCAAGCCTCAACAATTTGGCTAGTCTAGCTGCCAAACTTTCTCCAGGGATCTCCGCCTCCCGGCTGGACACTGAGGACCCGCACTGAAGTCTCACGCTTGTGTGGGAAGTGCTTGTACCTGCCGAATCACCTCCCTAGACCTTATGAGCTCCTTTTCACATCTCTCTTCCTCTTCTTCTATTATAAACACACGCAGCAGAGATCAAATTGTTTATTGATAATATAAAGTTGCAGAAAGACACATTAAGGATTTCTTCCCACACAGCAGAAAAAAAGAATGGATTGTAAGCCTACATAGGTTCCTATAAAAGAGAAGAAAATGGGATAAATTGGGCATGCTCAGTTTTTGCTTTTGAGCTCACTGTTTAGCTGTCTGTGAGAAAAGCAATGCGTTAAAGTAGACAGTAGTGTTATTGTAGGTGATAGTCCTCCAAACAGAGACACAAAGAAAGCACAGACTCCTCCCATGGCACACACGCCAATTACAGAGTGGGTCCCAATACTGACCTATTGTTTCTGCACACTCCCTACTATTCTTTTTTGCATGGATGCAATTTCTCATTGTGACTAATGTGTATATTACTTTATTGAATATTATAGCATTTATTATATCATGTAGGCATTTTTTCTAGGATCCCCTTATAGTCAAAGGCTAGTTAATGTTGTTCATACTTAATATTCCTCAGCTACCAACATGGTGACTGATAAGTTGTCAGTCTTCAAGGTTTATTTACAAAATGAGAAAATAAATAAATGAAATAACCCATTGAAAATGTGGGTGGCCTATTCTAAATAAGATCAAGTCAAGAGTGATGTAATAATTTAAAGCGGAATGAGCACAGCTCTCAAGGGAATGAAAGACTAGATTTCTGTTTAAAGAAGCTGATTGTTTCCCACCAAGGAAGGTGGTGATGACATCACCAGCTCATGTCTATTGTCTTCTCTTCACAATGTGAGATGCTCAGCAGGTGTGCTGGGGAGCTGAGCACAAGGGATTCTGACAGCGCCTTCCTGGAGCCTGAGCAGAACTTCTCTGGAGGTTTACACATCTTGCCTCACAAAAGGTGTAAGAATGGAGAAAGTGAGCAGATTAAGAAGGGGAACTGAATTTCTCCAGAAGGTGATCTAAGGCTGTCTTGATCTTCTGCCAGACTCGGGTGTTAGAGTTTAGATGCTGGATGTTGAGGTGGGGAGGGGGTGTTTTAGAGACTGGGGCTACTGGAAGAACCTAGAGCAAGAGAAGCACAGGGCATGCCTTCAAAGAGGCTTGTGGAACACCATACCCTTTTTCTTCCCCAAGGGCTGGAACCTCTGAAACCGTGGACCAGAGCTAGAGGTGGTAGCTTCCATCTGTAATCCCAGCATTCCAGAGGCTGATACAGGAGGATCGCTGTGGAGACTAGGCTGAGCTACGGAGTTAGACCCTGTCTCAAAAGCCAAAAAGAGCCATAAGGCAAAATAGACCTTTTTTCTTTATGAGTTGGTTAGTTCAGATACTTTGTTATAGTGGTAGAATGCAGACCAGGATATCTTTGTTCAAAAAATAATTATTTCTCTTATCTTAATCGTTAGTACTATCAAAGAACACAGTGGGAAGAAAATCAATAATCAAAATGTGCTTTTGTATTTTATTGAAGCAGAATCGGTCCATGCTATGCACCCAGAAAATATTTTCAGGAACTTTAAATATTAAATTTAATTCTTTTTGTACTTATGCCAGGGAAGTATTCTGTGGCAAACTCATATTTGTAGTTTCTTTTTTGTTTGTGTTGCAAAGTTATATATAAGGGAGCATAAAATAAGAAAATAGTATTCTCTAATCTCAGCACTTACTACAATCAATGTTAATGTTTGAGCAAATAACTGTGTCTGTTTCTTTTATGTTCCTATGAGTATGTGGTAACAGACACACACATGCACAATGAAAATCAAGAAAATATAATCCATAATCACTAATGAAATTTTATTTATAATAATTTAAGAGTTATGGAAGTGAGACTGAAGACAATTCAATCAGTCGAGTGCTTGAGGCCTTAAGACCATGCCCAGAACCAATGTGAAAAGGCTAGGTGTGGTGGTGCACACATGGATTCCCAGTACTGGGGCGGGGAAGATGGAGACAGGAAGATTTCTGGTGCTTCCCAGCAAGCCAAGACAACCTACTTCCTGAGTTCCAGGACAGCATCCTGAGGAACAACTTCCAAAGTTGTCCTGTGGCTTTTACACACATACACACAAAGCACATGAATACATACATACATGTGGACATAAACACATTCACACTCTCTTCACACATAATGAATGCATGCACATATGCATACAAATATATACATCAAAAATATTCACAGAAAAGTGAAGACAGTGTAGAGTTCCCATATTGCTCATACTCCAGTTCCTGTAGTGCTAATATCTTGTATTAAAACCATGCTAATGTCACACATAGTGAACAGACCTAATGGACCAATATTAATATATCATAATTGTTGGTAGAAATGTTAATGTTATTAATGACTGACAGCTGTTTCATTTGCGTTTCTTTATTTTGTACCTAATATTCCTTTTCTGTCCCAGGATTCATTCCCTTTAATAGCATCTCTAAGTTTTTTGTACAATAAAAACTTTTTTAACTTCTTCCTTCCTTCCTTCCTTCCTTCCTTCCTTCCTTCCCTTCCTCCCTCCTTTCTTCCTTCCTTTCTTTCTTTTTTCTTTTTTTCTTTCTTTCTTTCTTTCCTTGTCTATCTATCTATCTATCTATCTATCTATCTATCTATCTATCCATCTATCCACTCCCTTTTTGTGTGTGTATGAAGGCAAAGGCCAGAGGTAGATAACAGGGTCATCTTCCTCAGCCACTGTCAACTTTCTATTTTGAGAATGAGGTCTCTTACTGAACTGATTCAGCTATGCTGACTTGGGCTGATTGGCTATGCTGACTTGGGCTGATTGGCTATGCTGACTTGGGCAAGGAACTCTAAGCATTCATCTCACTCTGCCTTCTGAGTGGTAGTAGCACAAGTGTGTGCTGCAGACCTTTTTTCTATATATAGCTGATGGTGATTGAACTCAGATATTCATGCTTACAGGTAAGCATTTTACTGACTGAGCCATATTCTGAGCGCTGGGCTATAACTTGAATAATAAAAACCCAGAGCAGGAGAGGAAGCTAAGCCTGGATGGATGGGAGTTGGGAGTGCTAATTTTCTCCTGAACTCAAGTGGCTAGATTTGGGTTCCTCTCTGGCCTGTACCGGTGGTTGAAATCTCAGGCAAAGAGATTTTTCTTTTTGTAAATTTGTACCCCAAACACTGGGTGCCAAATACAGCAACAAATAAATACCCAGAGACAGAAATTGAGGTTCAACCTAAAGGACAGAAAAACAAAACAGTTGGCCACTGGCTCTTACCTCTACCTCAGTCTGAAATGGTGATCCTGCCCCCAGAAATCCTCAGAATGAGACAGAGAGTGACAGCTGTCTCCTCCTTTCTCATATTCCTCTCTACAGCTGGAATTAAAGGCATGTACCACTACCTCCCAGTTTCTATAGCAAACTAGTGTGGCTACTGGGATTAAAAGTAGGTGTCACCACTGCCTGGTCTGTACAGCTGACCAATGTGGCTGTTTTACTCTCTGAACTTCAGACAAGATATATTTCTTAAAATACAAATGAAACATTACTTCATTAATATGACATTTAAGATGTTTTAATAACATGTTTGTTTTATGACAATGAGGCATGACTGCCCTTGGCAGCACCAATCTATTTCAGAGAAGATACTGGGCATCAAAGAAACTCCACATGGAGTTTACTTTCTTTGTGGCAAAAGTAAACTGCTGGGCAAGAAAATGCTCATGCATTGGCTCCTGAGAGTATGCTGTCCTAATTGGACAAGAAGGACACACAAGAAAGTGACTGCCAAACTTTGTCAAGATAAAGAGGGATAGTCCTTCAGAATATCCTGCTTCTCAGAAAAGTCTATCTATGCTAGTCCTGTAGGATGAAGATAGATGCTCCAATTTTGCAGAGGAACTTTGGGTGATTGTCCAGGCAGTCAGTTGATTCTGTCATTTCTCACATTTTTTGGAGGTAGCTTGCTTACACTTTCTTCTTACTCAGTTAATATTATTTCCTTCTTAGGTCTCTGAGAGAGTTGAAGATTAGATAGGTATAGTTATAGTTTACCAGACTCAGAAAGCAAGTTATGATAGAAAGTAAATTAGGTATAAAACTTTGGACTCACCAAGATAGGATAGATGTGAAGTATTTTCTCTAAATTTGTCAAATACAAATGGACTAGACATTGTTGATGTACTTATCACCTGTATATATTGTATATAGTCATTGTACTTATTGTATATAGTTTTTTATATTAGTTTAACCT